CACACACATATTTCCGATAATAGAAATTATGCTCGGATACATTTTCGATAGAAATTTCTTGTTTTGAATTATCTAGTAAAACTATTCAGGCATTAAACGCTGGTGGGTTGTAAAAGACGAGGAGAAGCGGGAACGAGGTGGTCCCGTCAAAGTTTCCCGAATAAGTAGAATTAAGTAAGGTTGCGAGCTTAACGCCTCCGCAGTTTGCTCTAATAGCATTAACAAGTTTCCAGACCATATTGGGGGAATACTTAAGACCATAATGTTTTTAAATCTCCATAAAAATTTGTTAGTCATCGTATTTTTAAGAACAAAATATTGGGGAAGTATCAGTCATGGTGGAAGACATATCTTAAGTAAGAAGAGTTAAAAAGTTAAATTTCTTAACCGATTTTTTTTCTATACATGACCTTCGGCACCTCCTTTTAAACCATATTCACAAAACGCTAACCTAAGACAAATTCATAAGAAATTCTAAGATCAAAATTTTCTAGCGACCATTCCAAACCAAACCGAGAACTATAGTGTTTTCAAAGAGAATTTTCTTTTCTAACTTTGGAAGTGCAATGGAATTGAAATGTATCTTAATACGACTCGATGTATTTAAATTCCGAAAGGGGATCGCATCGGAAAACTGTTATGCATATTTTAAAGTTAAATTTACTTACAGCGGACTGGCAGCGCCGAATGAGAATTCAATGCGAATATCTTTGTGAGCTTTAAAATGTTTTATAATATTCAAAAGGCGTGATCACGTTCGTCGTTAAAATAATACTAAGCGAAATTATGTTCGATAATCTTGAAAGATAGAAAATAATTTCGAATAATATCACTTTTTTAGAACCAATAATGTAATATAAAAATATTAAAATTAATTGCTTCTTTGTTAAACTAACAAAAATTTTGCATTCTTGTAAAAATTAACATGAACTTTGTCGACCTAAACCTAGAAGTATTGAAAAAATCTAACAAACAACAACGCCTGTGAAAATTATAACAGCAATTACTTTTATCTCATATTTTGCCCCCGAGCAAAATAATACCGGCAAAACAAAAAAATATTTATATTAAGTCCGTACTTCCTAAGCTAAAGTAATTAACACATAATGCTATAAGTTAGAAAACAAATGAAATTAATTCGACAATCCCATAAAAAGAAATAAGCAGTTCATGAAAGTTTTAATAATTAAAACTCAAATAAAACTGGTAGCCCTAAGGGCACATGACAAATTTAGAATGAAATACCTCGCTCCCCTTGCCGGTACAAATTAGAAGAGTAAACGCCGTACCGAACGTTTTTCTGGAGATCTTTTCTAATTGGATTTTGTATACGAATCATTTACAAAGATAAATCCCTTGCTGAGGGTAAAGAATAGACGACTGTCGTTATTTAATTTTGAGTACATAAAAGAGTGTAAACAAAGCCTATAAAAATTATTATTTAAATGTTTTTTTAACGATGAAAATACTTGAACGCTTATAGGTCTTAGATTATTTTTAACAGAATAAAATGGGAATAGCACGTACATATATTGACGACAAACGCCATCGTGTCTTCATCGACAAAACTTGTGCAGCGCGCCTATTAGGCGTTAAGAACACCAAAAAGCTTACTATCTTACTAATTCTTCTTATTACTTCCTACTAATATTATAAATGTGAATGTTTAGATGGATGGGTGGATGTTTGTTTGAAGGTATCTCCGGATCGGCTCAACGGATCTCGCTGAAACTTGGCATCGACATAGGACATAGTCTGGAAGAACACGTAGACTACTTATAAAGTTTTTTATTTTCGCGCGGACGGGACTAGTCTCATATAAATGTTGACGCATTTGAGGATGGCCATATAATAGTTAACAAATGTAAGTAATAAAATTTATTAACCATTTAAGGTTAATAAATTTTATTCGGTTGCTCTTGAACAATAAAAGTAGAATGAGTAGACCAATTACAAAGCTAAAACTAACTCACATCTTAATTCAAACTGATAACTGTATAAATCTTGGGGCAGACGTTTGCTATCTATGTCCGACGCTTACAACTACATTTCCTTTAAACTTTTACAGACTTCTGTTGGAAAGATGTGTACAAAATAAAATACTGCATTATTAGATATTTTATGTGTTCAAAAACTTTCAACTCTTTGATATTATGTTAAAGTTCATCATTTAAAATACTTTCTTATATCTTTTTGCATACAGTTTCAATAATTTATTAATACGTAAATTACAATTTGAAATATCTACAATTTGTCATTAACTTATCAAAAAGAAAACTGTTAAAAAAATTGGAGGAATAATAACGGAATCATTGAATCCGGCGTCGCGGCCGTCTGTAGGCAATTTTCAATCTCTTTTCTATTTATGACAGTAATAAGCGGCCGGGAAAAGTCAACAATCAATTTTGTATTTCAATTTATTCCCAACCATCCTAGTTCGTGCGGTGATAAGAAAAAGAAAACGCGTTCATTGAAAACGGAAATTATTGCAAGAAGCCATCAAGTGGTGTGCGCTCGGCTTCCTACGTTGTATTCTCTTTTTATAATTTCGATTTTTTCGTCGAAAGCTTTTTGATTTGTGTACCATCGCGTCTGCCGAGGCTATTTTTCACGCACCTCATTGTCCACTTCACGCTTGAAAAGGTCGCATTTAAAGTGTTGTTGTGCGCTACACCGTTAACGCTTAATTTTCAATGAAATCGCTTTATGAATGGTATACCAGAAATACTATTTTATTAAAACTAGCTGTCGCCCAAGACTCCGTCCGCGCGGGTTTATAAAAAAGGATCCTAAAGGGTTTTCCCGGCAATTATTCCAATTTTTTCTCACCTTTTAAACCTTTCTTAGATCTCCACGAACATTTCAAGACTAAGATAAAATAAATCCGTTTAGCCGTTCTCGAGTTTTAGCGAGATTAACGAACAGCAATTGATTTTTATATAACCGAGTTATTTAGTAAGTTTAATAGTAAAACTTATCAGCCAATCTGTAAGTATAGCTTCTCAATGAAACTTTAATCTATAACATTATCTGTGGTTTTGTTTACTGTTGAAATTAAAGATGGTATCGATAATAATTCTATCAGACAGCGTTCTGCGGCGCTGAGGGCGGCCGGTGCCGGGAAATTGGGGTGATTTTTCTCCTCTTTTCACGTCCGCTCTAATAGTAACGTCAGCACAAAAAGGTAGAGGACTACCTTATAAATTTAATTTTTTTTTTAAATAAATGCATTTCAACATTAAATATACTTATTGAAATGATCAATTTAAGTGACATGACATAAAATTTTAAATGATTTTTTTTTTCTAATGTAATATAGTAATGTATTTGCTGTCAGTACACACAAAGTACTCTAACGTGTTATGAGCAAATACAAGTGACGCGAGGGACGATATTTTTCGCCTCGTATATTGAATCGGTATGGTCTTTATTTGGAAGGTTTGTTGTAAAGAGGACCTTTTCAAATTTCCGTTCACCTCTGCAATTGATGACGTCATTTCTTGCATTGTTAGAGTTTAGCACGATACTCGTATTAGACCTTTGTTAAATACTACGCGAGTTTCCATTGCCGAAACCTTTACACCCAGGTGCTTTTGTACACGTCTTTTGACTGTGTGTACTTAATCTTTCTTATTTTAATCAGAAGAAAAAAAAATCTAAATTAAAAATAATAGATTTTTTTATATTCTTGATAGTCACCTTTCTTCCGAGAACAGATAAAAGTTCAACCGGATATCGACGTAAATTAATAGACGCATTGAAGTATTTTTTTTCTTGCGTCCTAATTAACGAGAAACGGGAAAGTTAATATTTTTTTCACAGAATTCAGGATGAGAGACTTCATTCGCTTTTATAACGTCCTAATTCTCTGTATTATTTCTCGTTATTTTATTTTCGTTACTAATCCTAATTGCAACGTACTGTGACGTCATATTTTTTCAAAATAATAAAATAGGTACGACATTTTTAAAATAATCCTTTTTTTAAATTCAATTCTTCGAGATTAAAAAAATTTAGTAACTCATTTTTTTTGTTGAATATACTCTTTAAGCAACGTACAAAACTCGTATTGTATGTACAATATGTTTGTTGTCTGGTTATTAGTTGAAACTCATTATAATCGTGGTTTTAGTATAAGGCTTCAATTGTCAATTATCCTATATCTTACTAATATTATAAATGCGAATATTTGGATGGATGGATGTTTGAATGTATCCGGAACTGCTCAATGGATCTTGATGAAATTTTGCACATATATAGAACACAGTCTGAAACACATAGCCTACCTATTGAGTTGAGGAGTCAAGGGGGACAGCTGTATAGGTAATAAAGGAGTTATTTTCTAGTAATAAAAAACTGTAAATATTGAACAAGTTTTTAATGAGCTACTTCTTTGGTCAAATCATTGGTTAGAATAGAACCAGTACATTCATTTGACGATTTACAAACAATGCGCTGACCTCAGGCGACATCTAAATATCTTAATATAATTAGGAATGCATAAACTATCTATTTAAATGCGGAGTTAAAAATTATCTGCATACATTTACATATATTGATTTAAAACATCGCTAAACAAACTATTTTGAACTATTTTTAAATTACGCACTTTTATAATAATTTTCAATAACATGTAGGTAATTTTTTTTTCACATTTTACTAGAATCAAATAAACTTATATAAAAACGGCTAAACACTCACGTATATTCGGAGTCCTACTCACCCTGATGAAGGGCCTCCGATGGGCTCGAAACTAGTCGGTGCCGCCGCCGGACGAATATACGTGAGTGTTTAGCCGTTTTTATATAAGTTTATTATAATGTCTCAAGAGAGTTTGAATAATTTAATAGAATCAAATATTTTATATTTACCAATTTTAATTAATTAATCGTAAGATACAATAGACTAACTACTTAGTTAATTATTTACATAAATAATACAAACATTACAACAATGTTCATGGATAAACTTAACAATAATATACAGTGTACAAAATGAAATAACAAAGACAGAATTCAAATAATAAATTGATGGCTAAGCCAAAAATATATAAACGAAGTATTAAAAATAATATATTTGATCGACATACATAATCCATCTACCAATTCAACTCTACTTCACTAATACATAAACGAGTGATTTAATATAGAAAGTAAATAAAAATTATTATTATATTTTAATATTTACATAAACATTTCAACACTATAGAATACAATGACTGACAGTCTTAAAACATGCATTCCTTGTCGGTTATATACGAAACCGTACCTTTCTTACATTCACTTAGTTTATTTAGTACTGCCTTTCTGAGATCTCTAAATAGACATTAACATTATAACGATTAAATATCGAAGCTATTATTCACTTCTAAGATACAGAGATCGTTAACTATTAAAAGTTTTGGCATATTACATTAACACGATAAACACTTTATATCGATACAATTTTATAACTGTCTGTCTGTACTATCCAATGCAGATTACAACACACTTTGCCACCATTATTAATCTAAACTAATACCGACACATTTCACCGACATTAGTATTCAGACATTGATGATTTGATTGTCACTTTAATATCAATACCGACACATTTCACTAACATATTGTCCTAAACTTTAGCACACCGACATATTTCACTAACATAAGTCCGAAATCAGTGATATTGCTTGTCCAAACTTTAGTACTAACGCCGACACATTTCACCGACACCATCTTAGCTGTTCAATTATGATACTTGGTGTACGGGTGGGCCGTATCTCAGGCGCGGTAGTCTCAGCTGGTTGCCGACAGGCCTAGGGGCTTGAGGTGCGGCGGGGGCACGAACGCAGCCGTGCTCGAGCCCGACATATTGTTGTTCATGTCACCGGAGCGGCCCGATCCATTCATTAGGCTCATCGCGTTGCTTGTCTGTTGAAAGAATGCTTTTGTTAATAATAGAAGACACATCTACTTCTTACTAATATTATAAATGCGAATGTTTAGATTAATAGATGTATGGATATTTGTTTGAAGGTTTATCTAAAGCGACTGAACGGATCTCGATGAAATTCAGCGTACATATAGAACATAGTCTGGAAGAACATATAAGCTACTAATTATGTTTTTTAATTCCGCGCGGACGGACTTGCGGGCGACAGGTAGTCTGTAAATATAATATATCTAAACGCAAGTAAGTCTTCACAAAGTGAACTGACAGTCTGATAAAAGTTGCATTACTCCACTGGATGGTGGTCCATCATGAAATCTTTAAGAAGAATGCAATGTTCATAAAAGCTTCAGTGTTACAACTAAAATTATTCCTTAATCCTGTATTTTAAACGATCGATTCGAATGACGTCCATTTCAATTAAATCATAATTACCGGTGGTGGGGAAAGATGGGTGGTCTGTCGTTTGAGATGCGCTAGCGGCGGAGGATTGTAAGCCATGTTTGCGAACACAAGCCGTTCTTCATAATCATACTCGCATAGGATCTTGTTCTCGCACAAGTAGAAGCGATCGCCCACACAAAACCTGAGAACAAACAATACAAATTAGGTTAAAAACAAAAAAAAAACTAAAAAATTTAAATACTACGTTTAGGTACAATTGTTATACATGTGTGCGGTTAAAGGAATTTCCTTTAACCGCTTATACTACGAAATATAGTTTTAAATATGAACATTTATATCAGGATGTACGCAATTAATTAACTTCAAAACATCCTGCGTTGTGACAGCTTCCGATTGTTGGACTTTGAACGTGTTGATAATATAACTAGGCAGACAATCAGTCGTGCTTATAAATAAGTGTTTAAAAGTAAAAAGGCTTAAGTATATTTTGTAGAATTTAAACTATATTTTCATGTTGTCTAGAATAATTTTCTTGGTACTAAATAAACAGACAATTGCTCTTACAAACATTATATTTCAAGGAGGCTTAATTAGCTAGCATTAAGTCCGTTGGGTTTATTTTTATCTCGTTCAAGACATTTACAATCGATACAAATCAGAAGAAAATATATATCAAATTATCTTACAAACAATTTTTCTTTCTATCTAATAAGTCAGTAAGTTTAGTAAAGTAAGGAAATACGGTCTATTTGATTAATAAAAACTAATTTAAAAAACATAATAAGTAACCTATGTGTTAGGGAGAGGTTAGAAAGAGGACTAAATTAGGCCTCCGGGGCGCACACTCATCAGACAAAACGCGGAATTGCTGCCACTTCACGCCTGTGTTCTGTGTGGTCGTGGTATTTTACCGGACGAGCCGGGCCAATTCAATTTTATGTTCTATATCTATGCTAAATTTCAGCGAGATCCATCCAGCCGTTTTGGAGATACCTTTAAACAAACATCCATCCAACCATATTAAAATTAGTAAGATTTCAGACATTATTGAAGCTTGTGTTGTTTTACCCTACTATTACATTCATAAACTTATGTATAGATGTCGCGTCGGATGCACAAGTCAGTTACATTTACCGAGTGGGCAGGGTGCAGGAAGATCCAATTAGCAATTCTCCACGTCAGGCGCGGCTAATTCGCCCAATGCCCACGCATTATTAAGGCTTCCACGTAAATCGAGTTAGCGACACATTTCGTATTGTATTTATTGGAATAATATAACATACCTATATATAATATTGTCGTGTCACAATGTTAGTAAGCATAATCCTTCGAAACGCTTTTTTTAAGTTTTCTAAAATTTTATATGCATGTTCCGTAGGTCTGAGAATCGGTTACTATTTTTAAAATCCGCGAGGACGGAGTCGCGGGCGATAGCTAGTGATTAGTTTATGATTCCAAATACTGGGAATGACTAAATTAGAACACAATACAATCAGTTTATTATTTTTGTTTTAATTTTCTTATCCTTTTTTCCACATTCACAGTATAATCTCGAAGCAAAAATCTACGAGTTTGTATTTCTAATTTCGATGACGTAATTCAAAACAACTTCCGTAACAAGATGAAATTGGGATTGATGTTATTCTTAATAATGAAGAAGGTCAATAAGGATAAAGAGTAATTAATTTGTTCAAAATCATTAAAATACAAGGAAAGAATTAGGGTGGTTATTTTTAAATCAAGGTGTCCTTGGTTGAGCGTTGAGAAATTGAAATTTAAAAGCTAACGCTCATGTATTTGAATACAACGAATTATATTTAAACAGTAAGTAACCAGTTAGATAGCAACAAAACACAGCTAAAAATCTGGCAGTAAAGGTGCCAGAAATGTCTGAGAAATAAAATTAAGTATCAGGAGTGGAGAGGTCAACGCGGGCAAGGAGCGCAGATAACGTCACGCGAGCGCGCATCCCTCAATGTGGCAAAACAAAAGGTATCGCCTTCGACTCGCCGCTACCCGCCGGCCGCCGGAACCGCCGCGATAACACTCACCTTATCTCCCCTTACCCGCCCCCCACCCCTCTCTACTACTCACCCCCCTCCCCGCACCCCAACAACTCTTTTGTTTCACTTGTCACAAAAATTAAGCGCAATAGCTCGGCTACAAATGTCTCTTTTTTAAGGGGCCAATTTCCACCGCAACTCAGTCGATTTCGCCGCTCTTAATTAACTTTATTTCCTGTTCTCCCCGTCCCCGACTTTTGTTTTTCGGGGGTTTATACTTTTTTTTTTGCTATTTTTTGTCTGCAGTCGCGTAATGGAAAAGATGTAGAACGAAATTTTAATGACTGGGTGCAAGTTAAGCTTTGTGCGAGTGTCCATTGTGTCGCGCCGGCGACGCCAAGTTTGACATTTTACGTAAGCGGACGTGTCTGTTGACTGTTTTCCCTCGCCTATAGAACAAAATTGTTTTATAAGCAATACAATGGAATAAATGAAAAAAAATATATTTTGTAACTTAATTAAAAAAATATTAGCCAACAACGATTATAACAATTTGTCGACGCAATGGCTTACTTATTGGATTACAATGACCCAAATTCGATAAAATCTAGCAAATCTCTCGATACGCCAATTTTATCTGCGTCTCGATCGAATCCAGACAAACGTGTCACCTGACCATTTCATTGATTAGAGTTCTAATTTTAAATTCTATTTCAAAGTCCATTTTACTCGAACTTGATTAATTTCTCACATCATCTTACTTCTTACTAATAATATTGCGAATTTTTGGAGCGTCGGTAGCTCAGTGGCCAAATTGACTTGCAATCTGCAGGTCCTGGGTTCGAATCCCGCCATGTACCAATGTGTTTTTCGATTTCCGATTTACATATGTATAATACATTTATCCGATGTTCTTACGGTAAAGGAATACAATCGTGATGCAACCTGCACATATATGAGAAGTAATTCAAAGTTATGTGTGAAGTCAACCAACCCGCACTTGGCCAGCGTGGTTGACTATGGCCTAATCACCCTTAACTTAGGATAGGCTCCGAGCCCCTCGGTGGGGACGTGTATGTGTGTGTGATGGTGATGAGATTTTTATTTAATTCCGTTAGTATTTTCCAATTCAGTTCTGTAGTTTCGGAGCATATTCAACACAAACAAACAAAAAGTCAAATCTTTGCTCTGACTGTTTATTTGTTTGTGTTGTGTTGTTGTTTGTTTGCTTTATAATATAAATATACACGAATTACTGACGATCGCGTTGTCACTCAATCTTAGGAAATTTACTTTGTACGATTCAAAGAATTCAAACAATACTCTTCCAGTTAATCAAAATTTACAAAGTATAGCAATAGACAACTATACGTTAGTCGTATTTAGCTTTCTCGTAAAATTTATAGAAGCACGTCCCTAAACGTGACAGATTGGAACAAGTTGGTAGCGAGCGTGCGACGGACGAACGGCGTACGATACGTGTTGTCCGCCGGCGTCCGCGGAGTAGATAGCTACTAAATAATTTACCAGTTTAGCGATATTCCGGCGAGTATCAGCCGCTTGCCGCAGATCCGACAGCCCGCAAATTGGATTCAGATTTCTGGCCGCTGCCAAATTGATTCGCACGTGATATTTAATAGCTTCAGCGGTTCATTGTTTAATATTAACTAATATTTCATATTTATTTACCATATGTTAACTTTCTTATTTACTAATTTATACTATGTACTTTAACGCAAATATAATTACTGAATTTATGCAAATTCAAAAGACTTTATGTGATAGACTTTATGAGTTAATAATTACGCAATAGAAACAAAACTGTTTTTTCAAGTATAAATTAATATCAACTTAATATAAAAAAAAAATCTTTTACATCGGAACGTATCTCTCAAGTATTCTGGTCATTTCTTGAATATTGTAAACACAATTGTCTCATATCGCGTTAAGCGTTTTGCTCGGAAATGTTTTACGTACGAAATCCGTACTCAAAGACTAGTCGAATGAATATACAATTGGGTGAAACTGTCACCGGAGTACTGGCAACACTAGAAAGGTCCACAAGTGACGTATAAACCATTCAGAGCGGCTCCAATCTTCGCGACCTCTATATTATTTAAGCGAACAAAGTCCGGTGAAAATTGCGTCTTCGAAACTACACAGTATATTAGCTATCACACGAGTTACAACGCATGAATATCCCAGTTTTTTATTTATCTATACTACGACTATAAGTAAAAATAGACCCCCAATTTAAAGGATATTGTATTTGTTTATAACAGCAAAAGTTGATACTAAACTTGTTGCTGGCATGAACTGCGAAAGTAATTCGTACGAACGTTTTCCGACAGTAAAACAGATTTAGGAAACAAACATTTACTCAAAACAATTGGTATTTGTTATTATTGTGATATAGATATCATTTGAATTGTAACAAAATAACAAGAAGTATAACCGTTGAACTGCTTGAACAAAATAATAAACATATTCTTTGCATGCGAATGCCTTATGTACTGGAAAATTTAATCGCAATCTTTTGTTTGTATTCCGTGCGCTGAATAACCTATATGAACCCCTTATAAGTTGTCTCTTTCGCACTCTACTTTGTGTTACATATTTTATCTCGCTCATAGAAGAAAAGTTCCTCACCGGACCTGTATTCAATATAGCCAAGGTCCCCATTCAATTTTCACGGACGCAATCGCCTGTGACAGGTGAGAAAATTAAACGAAACAAGGAATGTACGAGTAAGTACTTCGAGACACTTTCACACTTTATACTTTAACTCTTTGGAGATTTGAGTGAAATTTAAAACTTGTTTATGAGACTGTATTAAATAAAAAAAACATTAACGGGAGTTACAAGTTACTTCTAGCAATTTCAAAAATTCTAAATTACAAAAATAGATGCAAAAGTTTCTGTTGGTTTTATATAAAACAAAAAAGGTCATAGAGTAGAGAATCTCACATTTGTATACTGACCTATGATTGCACTGCTGGCAGGCGAAGCACTCCAGATGGTAGACATTGCTGCGCGCGCGCATCACCATCTCGAACGCGGGGATCACCTTGTTGCACGCCGCGCAATAGCCCGTGTTACCGAACAGCCTAAACAATAGAAAAAAACATTAAACAAATGATGATCATCATCAGCTCACTATACGTTCCCACCGAGGGGCCCGGAGCCTACCCTAAGGGTGATCAGGCCATCGTCAATCACGCTGGCCAAGTGCGGTTTGGTTGACTTCACACATACCTTTGAATTACTTCTCAGGTATGTGCATGTTGCATCCCGATGTTTTCCTTCACCGTAAGAACGTCGGATAAATGTACATATGTAAATCGGAAATTGAAAAACACATTGGTATATAGCGGGATTCGAACCCAGGACCTGCAGATTGCAAGTCAAGTGCTTGACCCCTGAGCCACCGACGCTCATCATGATCAAATACATTCTTAAATTACATCAAGTTTTGGTTTACACAACTTTATTGCAAAGAAAAAGAATAAAGACACAGTTGGATTTTTATATAATACTTTTCATCATAATAATGTTAGTTAATGTAGTTAATGAATGTCAACTTTGTAAATCAATCTTGCTATTGTTTTATTTTTAAACATATGCACTGACATGTTTTCAGAATTAAACTGGAAGCAAGGTCATCTTACGCACCATTTAAGGCTAATAGTAAACTAAACAAAGAGAATGTATCGTCATTTGTTTTTAATTAAAACTGATCTAATATTCTTTTAAAAAACAAATGCTGACAGTGGAGTCACACTTTGTGGTAACTATTGTTACAGGCTTTGACTTCATTAAAAACTATTAGTGCAATGTTATGGAGAGATAAATAATAACAAATATGAAATACTTATTACAATATATTATTGATATTATATTGAAGTTGTAAATAACAGTAAATAACTAGTTGTAGAAAACATGGATATCATATAAATTACTGCAAGAAAAAGCACCGGATAAGATCCAGAACACAAATACAATATTATGTTATGAAGTAGTGATTACTTAAACGAAGAAGATTAAAGAGAACGATTCAGGGGGGTTAGACAAAGTGCATTCGCTCCGAAGCGATTTCATATCGAACTGAAAAAGTGTATGAAACTGATGAACGACAATCACGTGACTTATCGTTAAAATCAGGACAGTGATGAAATTACCTTAAATAATCCCTTTTGCAGAGTATGAGGTTAGCACGCGTGTAGAGCGTGTGTCCGACCTCACCGAGCCGGCAGTCGCAGCAGCCGCACTTCAGGCAATCCTCGTGCCACAACTGGTCAAGAGCCTTCAGCAAGTACCGCTCCGTTATCACCTTACTGCAGCCCGCACAGATCTACACATAAGAAATTAAGTAATTAAATATAATAAAGAAAAAGATTTGACGCGGCTTTTAAAACAGCCAGTGCCAAAATTTCTGGGGTTACAATTAATTGTAAAATTGAGTCTTTTGCAAGTTTTAAATTTAACAATTCTACGATTGCTACCATGTTATTCTACGAATGGACCACCAAATGGATTTACGTTGTTTGATTTTAATATCAACTAACAAGGCGTATTGATAGTTCACCAATTACTCATTCTTTGTTAAAAAAATGCCAAGCAAAATTGTGAGATTTTGATAAAGGTAAACACCTTCTGCTCTAGTCGCCCCTCACTTGAGTAGGCCCCGAGCCCCTAGTTGGAGACATAATGAGCTGAAGACGAAATCCACTGTACTTGGATCAACTCTCTGATGTTCATAGATTATGACTGATTAGTTTGGTGTGTACCTGCGGCTGCGGCGGCGGTTGTGTGGCGGTGCCGGAGGCCTGCGCGGCCGCGGGCAGCGGCGAGGCGCGGGACTCTTTAGTCACGTCCATGGCCAGCATGTGCGGACTGCAACTGCCCTGCTGCCCGCTACCGCTACCCGACGTCCGTCTCTCACACTACACAAACAATATACACTGTTTAGAAATTTAAAACACTGTTATTTAGCTAAATTTGTTTGTTTTCACATTCCATAAAATGTTTCTAATAACAAAATCTCCTTATAAAACATATCAACGTCATCCTCGTCTTTCATCTTTGACAAACAGAGATAACAATAGGCTTAGGTTAAAAATAATGAATGAAATGATTATTCTAAAAAAAAAGAATTTCTAATTAAGTTGCTTGCTTTACAATTAATAAAATCGCAGTATCTTTCTAATGTTAAAAAACTGAAATAAAAAATAACCAATTTTAAAAATTTTTGTCTGTCCGCAAGTCAGCTTTTGTTCTGGTGATTTCCGAATCATTCCGCATGAATGTTATAAGCTACTTTTCTTTTTATTCCACGTTGACGAAGTCACGGGCGACTGCTAGTTCTTAATACAATTTCAAACGTTATTAATCAACGATAATTGATCTGATACCAAGTTTATCCGCGCTAAGCGTCAATAAAAGTGGCTTATCGGGTGTGATCGCGTCCAATCCGCGGTACAATTCATAAGATCGTCTCGTATTACGGCATAAAATCCAGAACCATGAAATTTATCGCTTGTAATATTTCACGAAAAAATTAGCACAACTAGTCAACCGATTAATGAGAACGTGAAACACGACCCGAGGTTTTCGAACTATAACAAATTATATACCTTAAAAATATCGAATAAATGGCAATAAAAACGGTAATTTGGGCCGCGAGAATGAAAAAAACAGGCCCGCACTAAGCAATAAAGTCGAGCGTTGAGCGTTGTCACGGTTAATTAACACTTTAAATACAGACATTTTTCAATTAAATTTTGACGGCAACTGCAACACAGATACTATGTTTGTTTAGTAGCAGATTGCCAGTCATCTAGGCAGCTATTTAAAATACGGTTAAGTAAAATTGCACTTCATTTATTAGAAATCCAGCAGAGGAAAATGTTTTTTTTTTTTATTATTTCATAAGAATTCAAAAAATAATAATACCTCACCGAGTGTTATATTTTTAAGGGTGACTAGGCCAGAGTCAACCACGGCCAGTGCGGATTGGTTGACTTAACACATATTTTTAATTTTGTACGCAGATATGGCAGGTTCCATGATGATGTTTTCCTTCGCTGTTAAAACGTTGGATAAATGTACATGTGTTTGTGAAGATCGAAAAATACACTTTTGAATGGCAGGGATCGAACCTGGACGAGTACGTTTGGGTCCGGTCCGATCAAGCACTTAAAAACTGCGCCGCCGACGTTCTTTTTTAGAATAAGTAAGAAAAAAGAAATCGAAAACTGTTTCCATTAGCAACAATTGAGTACGGTATGACGTCTTATTCAGGTCCCACTAATAGGCATCAAGCGTAAAAGTTTTTAGCGATACACTGGCTAGTTTTCTGGTACAATGAGAACGGGTATTAAGAACCAACTGGTTGAAACAATACGGAGCATTGTGAGGCCCGTGACAAATTGCTCGAGTCGTTCAGTTTTGTATGTTTTTGAGAGTGCCCCGATCGGACGGCCATAAATAATAGTATACGGATATTGGGCGGAAACATGCAGGCTGCGCTTCAAATTGTGTCAGCGATTGTTTGTTCATTCTGTGCCAGGAACTAATCGGCCATTGAGGAGCTGTTTAAGTAGAACTTGCCTGGTAATACTGTTAATTAAAAAGGATATTGAATGGACTGGTGACAACATTTACAAATGTAAACTTAATTTGATTGTTATTAATAGACTCGCAATGATCTTAACCCTAAGAACTAAAAACTTTATTGCATAAACAGTCCTGCAATTTACTTATGGTTGACATTTCAATTTTACTTTCTATTACAAAATTTACAGCATAACAAATCCTACAAAAACAGTATCGTACGCTGTGACCGTAGGATAATTCGAATTATTCGGATACTCGATGACGGTAATAGAGTGGGGCACGATCGCGCTACGCCATCGACTTTTTCCGCGTAAATCCCGTGAAGGCTTCGTGAATAATTACCGTCCGTAGCGGTGACAGAGACACGCCGCGCCACTCCGAAAACAAACCGTGCCGAATGCAACGGTACAGATTAGACGCAAAAAAGCTCACGCCTTCCATTAGCATGGACTTTCGAATGTCAATACGCACGAATCAGGATTTAACGAACGTCAATCTGACGAAGAATAAAACTATAGGAAAGTGTTCGCATCGGTATCGTTGCGCTGTCAACTGGCGGCGCTTTTTTAGGATTTTCTAGATTTTATTTATGTTTTTAATACGGCTCCCTTTTTCACTATACCGATGTAAATTTATTGTTGCAATACTAACCCACAATGTAGGAATATAAAATTATAATTTATATTATTGACATTTTATTTCACGATCATAAACATATTTGACACTCGCTTAGTCTCAATCTACTAAATATACATGAAGTTAGGTACCTAAATGTGGAAGATAAACAGTGCAAATCAGAAACACGTTCGAAAGTTCCTGGGCTTCAGATACAGAGACGTGCGCTGCGGGACTCAGGTATTATGCAGGCTAAATTGAAGGACGGTTTCGGCGGGCCGCGGGGACTGTGTGGAGCTGCGTCCACGCCACGTGAATGATTAACACGGGAGCCGAGCGAGACCAATTACCCGCCGCCGCACTCCAAATTAGAAACTATTTTCGCCCATTAGTGGCCAACTTCATAATCAATTACACGTTAAAATTTCACTGCGCTGTTTCGGGAGCTCTCTGTTTGGATAATCGGAGTTTGTGGTCCCACGGTGAGCTATTACGCGCAGCCCGGCCTCTGATATGAGCAGAAGCTTTTCGTTTTGCTTTCGGCGAAATTTTAATTTATTTTTTTTGAATTGTGAATGCATTTTCGTCGGCTCTTAAATATGAAATACTTACTAAGTAAATAAAAGAAACGTGTAATAATGTTCCAGGAGATTACACATTTTACTAACCAACAGTTTATCTACAATTATATAAATCTTACTTATATTATAAATGCGAAAGTTTAGACGGATGAATGAATAGATGCATGTTTGTTAGAAGGTATCTCCGGAACTGCTAAATGGATCTTGATAAAATTTAACAAAGATATAAAACATAGTTTGAAAGAACACATAGACTACTTATTAAGTTTATTATTAAATCCGCGCGAACGGTGTCGAGGGCGCCAGCTAGTATTCTAATAAAGTCAATATTAGTTTACAGTTTGTAGTCTCAGAAACATAGCCTTAAACGAAGTGGGTTATGTTTAAAAATATCTATATCTAAAAATCTTTCTATTTCAGTATAAAGATAACAATGCTAAGTAACTAGTTGCTTTACCAAATCGCAGCTCCCCTCCCTTTGTGTGACAAAAAGAGGATGCTATTGAGTAGCTTGTATTGCGAACAACAAATCTACGAGGCATTTTTGTAACAGACAACACTAATAGGATTGAGTGCACTCTTGCTAATCATAATTCATCAGCGAGATTAAAGAATAAGCGCGACTGGGGAGATCCGAACACTCTCCCCTTCCCCCTCGTCACCTCCCCCGTCGTGTGGGAGAGACAATATGATTGCCACACCTGCGGAAACACCGGCTAAAGTAACGAGACGAGCTAAATAATTCAAGCAACTACATCTACTTTTAGATGCTCCACGTTATTTTTGCTGTCCACTATCGAGATTTCGAGGAAAGTTTTCCGATTTGTATGCTTATTTGTATAAATAATAGTTTGTTATTTTTTAATTTTTCTTCTAAATTTAGACACAAAAAGATTTCAATGTAAGTAAAATGAATTATTCAATGTTTTTTGTTATATTTTTTTTAGCATTTACAACTTAAAGATTACTTAGTGATTCTATAATCTAACTTGAAAAGTAAAAGATAAGTAACCAATGATAATTTAGTATAAAAATACTATTATTTCTGATGTAGAGCATACTTCCATGCGATTTAAGCAGGGCGCACTTATTTAGCAGATTGCTTTCCTTTAAGCTATTCTTTAATCTAGCGATGGGCGCGGTGCCTTCCTCGCACCCTCGCGCCTACAGACGCATTGCATTGCCTTCCTCCACTATTGTTAGTTTAATCGTGCATCATCTCTACAAGGATGTTGAGACACGACACCTTTTGCAAGAGTAAAAACACTTGTAAGAACAAAATAATAAAAAAACAGATCACAAAAGATAACTCCGCTAAAAGGTTCTGATACTTTACCTTTCTGTATGGATAAACTTCTGACAGTTCGAATATGTTATTAATAAACTAAGTTATAAATACAAAAGTTATGAACAGAGCTCTAAAACATAACACACGCACTTCAATCAAGACCAAGTTAATACTATAACGAGGCATATTGGATTACCGCCAGCGCCCGACCGGCGCAATAATATAACGAAATTCAAATATTAATAGGCCGAAACACAATCACGGATGGCCGAATAATCGAGTTAGCTGCTATTCGGTTAAGCCCCTATCGTATAATCTCCACCATTGTCTCACGCTGTGATCATGAGGGCCGATTATTGTGGCAATTTCGTGTTTATTGTTTTCAGGTGTCTGTCCACATCTACTTCAAGGAGATCCGAATAACCAAGATTGGTATCGTTGAATGATTGCATCTCTATTATTGTGAAAGTTAATTATTCTGCTACATACAAGATAACTGTGCAAAGGGTTGAAACAAATTCAAAGGCTTAAGGTTTAATATTGATGAGTTTTGTAGAAATGCTAGGTCTACCGGATTTAACTGGATACGAAACAATACATTGTTTATTAAATAATATGAAATATATTGTTAATATAATTCTTAAAATAGTCTTTTGCTATACAAAAATATTATCCTCAAATATCTAATTATTGGAATATGAATAACGAAGAAGATATAATACCAATTTTACTAATATTATAAATACGGTTTGGATGGATGGATATTACAAGATATGTCGGCTTAGATGCAGAATATAGTCTGGAAGAAAACATAGGCTACTTATTAAGTCTTTTTTTATTCCCC